TTTTAGTAATTATTTACTTTATGTGAGTCTCAAATTTTTATGAAATTTTACCAATTCCCGTCATTTCGAGATAGCTGAAAATTAATTAAATATTTTTTTCAATTAAAAAAATCGCAAACAAAACTAATTTCAGATTCAGTATTCGTACAGTCAATTAATTTTTATTAAAGATCGTGGTTGTTTGACGTATCCATCTCGAGATGTCGTAGTAATATGCCAAGAAACAGAAAAATTAATAATTTTTTTTAATAATGATGAAAGCAGAACACCTAGGCTACAGAAAAATAAAATTGTTTATCATGTATTAAAAAACTTTCTGAATGTGAACATATTTGAAAATTTACATGAACATTAATTTGATAATTTACCTAACAATTGTAATCATTTAATAGAACTTGTAAGGGCTGAATGTGAAAAGTATATCGATGTACGAATAAATCATGAAGTCAAATTATTTAATTCGGTAAAATCTACGAAAAGACAAATATTAAATAAATTAATATTATTTAGAGGATAATAAATATATTTAAATTATTTTGTAGTTTTATTTAATATGACACTAAAATATACTATTTTCTGAATTACAAACTTAAAATTGAATATTTGTCATAAGATGTAATATAATGTTTAATATGTAATAAAAATATTACTTAAACCGGATCTGCTTAAAGATGCGCGCGATCCGACTGCCTTCCACACTCCACTTCCCCGAATTTTGCATTCACTGGTACCCGTGCATTGGAATTAGATACGGCCAGTCTAGGTAGTCTGTGGAGTTACCATATAACTTAAGTTTGATCCTCCTAGATAAACAGCGATCTGGACAATTAAAGAAAAACATGTCAAAGAGCCCTGACTAAAAGACGATTTATTTCAAATCGATATGAAATCATCCGTAGAATTTGCTGTCTTCATTTGTCGATTTAGCTCCGAACACCCTGTATAACTTTAACATTTGATATTTTGCTAAATTTTCAGTTTTGATTGATTGTCAATTGACGTATTATCACTTTGACGTTCAGCTAGTGGATTGTTTCTCCTTACATTGTACGAAACAAAGGTCCGTAGTGACCTGTAATAGCTCTGACAAACTGTCAAGTACTGTTCAACAGACGCGTATCCCAACTATGTCTAAAAACCAGCACAAGTGCAGTTTGCCGGTTAAGGATGATTCCGGCCTTCCCAAATTGGCTCCCAATGCACATTGGGCTAAAAAACTAGGTAGAGTTTTGAGGATGTTAATAGTTGTTAATCCCAATCACACCAAGTGCAAGAAACTGTTCCGTAACAAGGCGGAAGCTAGGAAAGAAAGAAAGAGGCACATCTCCGGTCCCCATTATTTTGTGATTCACCCTCTGAGCACCCTCGACGCAATTCTGGATGCGACGTTTGTCATCTTATGGCTTTACTTCCTTATAGTGGAACCATTAATAAATTTCTTAGGTGTTGAAATAATTGACAGTATTGTGGACGTGCACAGAAAAGTGATGACCCCCATTCAGCTGGTCTTGATCTCACTATTTTTTAACAGAGGATACATCGATGAAAAGAATAATCGCATTGTGTTAGAATCTAAGAAGATAATACGCAGGTATTTATTTACGTACTTCATTTTCGATTATCTGAGTACATATTTCGCATTAGAGATACCGGCAGGTTGGATAATACAAAGAGAAGAGATTAAAAGGATTGCCGAGATGACCGCTTATTTTATTCGTGTATTTGCTTACAGCGTCAGGATTCCTACCGTAATAGAATACATGAATTATTCTCTTGGTAATTTAAAATTTAATAAAACGCTGGCATCTCTCATCTGCCACACGGTGAAAACTTACCTTATCCTTCACATCTTCTCTTTTATGATATTTGTTTTGCCAATATTATATTATATAATTAGGCAGTCATTTCCTCGTCGTTCGTGGATAATAAAAACTGCTGTTTATGCAATGGAACCAACTCAGAAGTATTTCGCAGCATTCCGTTTGGTATTTTGTCTTTTCTTCGGAATTTCATATGTGTATATAGAGGTTCTCAACGAACAAATCTATGCTGTGATTATATCCTTCACTGGCAGGCTTTACACTCTATATCTCCTAGCTGATATCTTGAGTATGCTGGGCATAACCGGTGTCTCTGAGAGTAAGTACCAACGAAGTATGTCGTCAATTCAACACTACATGGCTAACCAACATTTGCCAGATAATATAAAACAGAGGGTACTCCGGTATTGTAAGTTTAAATTTGAAGGACAATACTTCGAAGAGAACCAGATTAGGAGCACTCTATCCGATAATTTGCGTGCAGAACTTTTCCTGTTTAGTGCAAGGAAGATAATCCAGAAGGTGGAACTTTTCAAACAATTACCCCATTCTGCGATCGCCAGCATCATGGAAGTCATGAAATCCGAAACGTTCTCTCCCAACGACATCATTGTAACCATAGGTTCGGAAATAAGCGAAGTATATTTCGTATCCTCGGGCACTGTGGCCGTCACGAATTCGGCTGGCTACGAACTGTGCCATTTGGACGACGGTGATGAGTTCGGGACTAGTTGTCTTTTCTTTCAGAAGCAGAAATACGCAGTGGTGGCTATAGAAACGACAGAGGTGTTTGTCATAAACAAGAACGAGCTTATGGAATTTGTGCACCCTTATCCTGATGTGTTGAATGGATTTTATCGTTCAGCCAAGGAAAGGCTTGCCAAATTGAAACATTTGGGGGATCGTGCCGCCACACGAGACATCGATCTATTTCGTGAACTTGAAAGTGGGAATATTTTGGAAGCGCGTGAAGCAAGGCTGACCGCTGATCATTGAGACTTGTTTTTTTATTGTTCACAACGTTAGAGTTCTTTCTATTTAATATAATTATCTAAATAAAGAGTTTAATGTTACATAGTCTTTTTTATTTTTATGGAACATCAGTAACTTAAAGTTTAAAAGTAGTAACGTGACACAAGTATTTACTCTTTAATGCTTTCTAAATTTTCATTTCGCTGAACATTTCAAATTGAATATCGTTACGTCAATGCATTGGAGTTTAGACCATTTAGATTTGCCGTAGTAAGTGTCAAAGGGACACAAATCTAATATTTATTATATTTATTGCAGCATTTCTGAGGCTGAAACACGTCGTCAATGTTATAATTTGATTTTTATCATTTAATTCAATAGGTAAAAGGTATTCATTTAATTTAAATGAATTCAGTTAGTAAAGAAAAAAAACTAAAATACTTATTAAATACGGTTTGTCAATCGCTTACTCCCACTGTCCTTCAGTTAAAACCTCTCTTCATCCCCAAGGTCCTTGTTTTGTCTCAGTTAACACATAGAACAGTTCTAGTACACATGTTTTTCCTGGTGAATAAATATCTAGTGCATGCAACTAATTTTCTGTTGCCGATTCTCATATCTCGGTCAACACACATCATTGAAGTGCTGCGCCAGTAGTATCCACTATGGAACTTCATGCTCCAATCCAGCAGCCAACGCACCGCGTTAATAAATTCGAGGCTGCATACAATAAGTAGTGATGGGAGAATTCGAATACAAAAATCGATATCCATTCGATTCTTAAAAGTTCTCGCTGTACTCGAGAACTTTTATTCGATTTCGAGTATCTCTCAGGACAGGCAGATAGATGGACTAGACACTAGACGGATGTGCTTTAGAGGCCAAAATTGAATGTTTTTTAAGATTTGTTGTATTGTCAAATAATTTAAACTTTTTACTTATTTATTACTTTTTTTAAAATAAAATCCCAAACTAATGATTTGCAGCCAGGCTTCATTATAAAAATAAAAATTCAATAATTATAAAATAACTAAAAACATCAATATTTAATAACGGAAAATGCTCCGTGAAACAAACCACATCTCTCGTTCGTTGCGAGGTTTACTTTAATTACTAACTGCTGAGCTACCGTCGATGCGAGTACGAATAAAAATATCCCAATGATGCATTCGAATCCACACCGTGTCGACGACATACACCGATTCTGCATTGCCACTGTTCTCGAGTCCTGTTCTCGGATACTCATTCGATCTCGGTACGGTACTCGGTTCTCGGTTCTCGGATAATCATTCGATTCTTAAAAATATTCTATTCTGCCCATCACTAACAATAAGTACCTTCCTCCATATTCTCTTAACGATACTCTTAACGGCTATCTTCTAGTATTGTAGTTATGCACATGTGAGTAAATAAATAAGAAGATTTTATTGGATAGGGCGGACGGAGCATGCATTCACTGAGGCCATCTCGCGTTGGTGCGGCAAAACATTGTCCTTTATAGAAATTGTTAAATAGAAATCTGCAATCACAGATCGAGTCTGTAGACTTTTTCGCGACTGAATATTGGTGAATCTCTGTCTATTTATATCTCTTTTGATCTTAGTTGTCATATAGTAGTTTAAATCTCTTCATTCACTCACACTTTGTTTTAGATTAATGTAATAAGGGACTTATTGAATTAATTGTCTGAACTGCCTTACTGTTTTTTTTTATTCGTTTTTTATCCAAAATGAGTTTACCTGGTAGAACTAAACGTCAATGTTGTGCTCCAAATTGCAAAAGCATTTCCTACTATATGAATGTATGTAATACGTTCTATAGAAATAAAAGTTTTTCAGAATTACAAAAAACAGATAATTACAGGACAAAAACGCTAGAGCTCCTATCTTTCGAATTGAAAAAAACCACTGGCGTACCATTTTTTTCTTTAAAAATATCAGTATATCATCAATATACTTTTGTCGTAAAACGCAATGTTTCGAGAAAAATGGCAAAGTGTTATCGAATGCATATCGTGATTTGCCATTTTTCTCGCAAACATTGCGTTCAACGAAAAAAATATCAAGGGACACAAAGTTTTTAAATTCAATGGCTTTCTAGCGAACTGATCATTTTTAAGAAACTCAAATATGCGACCAAATTATTTTGGCTTCAAAGACAAGGGGGCCCACGAAAAAGTGTAATAAGAGGGTTCGCCGCCAAAAAGCCATTATCACTATCAAATTTCACATGCCATAAAACCCCTGTGTACCAAATTTAGTAATTCTCGTACATCAGGGTCCTGAGATATAAAAAATACTATTCTTACGGGCGGATTTCAGGGGGCTGTAATTCCGAATGAGGGTGCGACTTGGCAAAATAAAAAAATTCGGTTTTTTCGGTCCAATCATACCCCAAAATACCGTATTCTAGTATTTTAGTCCTTTGCGAAGCAACGATCAGCAAACAGTACAATAACATTCACGTACCGTTTTTTTATCTACAGGGTGATTCAGTCATAATGTCATTAATTTTAACCACGTATTCGGAAGGCTTAATAAAGACAGAAAATCGGAAAAAATTTTTTACTCGACTTTTAAAAATGAAGGAAATCAACTCATAACTCCCGCTAAGAGGGCGGTCCTGCGAGATGCCCGGATGCTCGGAAAATTTTGTAATGTAATGTCACGAACAAATTGTCAGCTGAAGCGAACAGCGTTGCCAAGTTCACATCATAATCTGTGGTTCACATTTACTTAATCCGCTTTAGTATATGGATACATATTATGTACGAAATCAATAAAATGCAAGTAAATAAAGGATCATGCTGCATTTTATTATAAATAATTTTAATAATTGTATAAACTTAGTGCAAAATATTTTAACAAACCTGACTTCTCGACGTCAACTTTCGTTAAAAGAAAATAAATAAAACAGAGGTTTGTAGGCACACCGTATTTTATCAAATAAAAAAAGTCGGCACACTAAATTCCCGAATATACAAAATTTACTACACACGGTTACAAAACCATTAAGAATTTAAAGCGTTTATTCAAATCTACCACCCTCAATATCTCCCGCATTTTTCCCGCAAAGGAGTGAACATCACATCATAAAGATGGAGAGGGGATGTGGATTGAAAAGACACAGACAAACGAAACCGTTAGTTTAGTCTATCTCCAATTGTTTAAAGTGTCGGTCGTGATGGCTTTGTATACGAATTCCGAATATGTGGATATGGTGATTCAATACGGAGAGTGTACAGAACGCAAATGCCGCTGCAATTGAATATCGCAGGCGTTTCCCTGATCGACAGAACTGATCCTGATCCCAAGCCCGCGGACAATTATGCAAGTCTTCGTGACACGGGTTCTATCATACCGCGCAGAGAACGTGCAGAAGAGATCGACAAAATGACTTAAATGTGATAGAGGCTGTTTTAAATGTAGTCGAGGAGCAGCGTACAAGAACAATTTCAAGATGATTGGAGATATCACAAACCAAAGTTTGGCGGATATTGCGCGAGAATTCACTCAACCCGTACCATTTTCAAAAAGTTCAAGCTTTAGAACCAGCTGATTTCCCCAATCGTCTTGAATTTTGCAATTGGTTCCTAAATCGAATTGCAGCAGGACCAAACTTTATTAACAGAGTAGCCAAACTTTACACGAAAAGTCGGCGACATTATTGCTGTTAATTATTTCTTCTTCGACAATATTATTACCTATTTGCAAATTTCTCTTTGTTTCTCCATCCTCTAAATATTTTATCTACTACATATGTCTAGTTTATTTGTAAAAAATTCCTCTAAACANAATAAAATATACAACATATTTTTGTTTTTTAAGACATTAAAAATTTAAAAATTTCGTAAATCAGGTACATTACCACATCCCCATTTTTTCTGGACAATTTTATAGAATTAGTTTTACAGAATGTAACTAAAATACCTGGTCAAACTTTAATGACGAATTTTATTCCACCAACTAATAAAAAAGTTTCTCTAAATTTTTGACCAGTCTCGACTGAATATTTAATAATATAATTTAAGTATTTAACACGTAAGAACGGTTCAAGGAAAATAGTTTCAAATAATATACAAGGTGTAAGTAAAATGCTTAGCCAAACATTAATGAGGAGTTCTACCTCGTAAATTAATGAAAAAAAGACCTTAAAGATGTGTTATTTTATGGTGCAAAATATAATAAAAATATAATATAAAGTACTATAAAATACATTAATAGTCATTATATTTTTGCCTTATTTCTTATTATTAATATTGCCGCTGAAAGAAATTTAACAGAAAAAGTATTGACTTATTGGTTTGAGCTGTCTTAATTGGCCGCGCACCAAAGGCGTGCGGATCATCAACATAAAATAAAGTGAACAATGACTATAAGATTTATCATTGTATCATTGTGAAACACGTAAATTGTTCTACGCACCGTTGCGTACTGATGTAATATTTGCATAATTAAATAATCTACTTCCAAGTTGGTAATTTCCACTCCGGGTTGTATTTATTCCAGTATTTACTGTATCAAATGGTAGGTTACATGCAATCAATATGAAGATTAAATCAAACATAAGTTGAGTCTTCTCGTTTTCGAGAGTTTTTTTTTGTATGTGTGTTGTGCACTGTTTAATACTGATACTTTATGTTTATTAATATTTATTTTAAACGTATTTATACATATACAAGTATGAATATTGTTATGTAATGTAATTTAATTGTTGTGTACTTTATTTATGTATACAATTTAAGTTTATGTACTTTCGGATAGCTCAGATAGTCAAACAGGAAAATCTACTTACCTTCATCTGCTTAAATATAGATGCCAGTATCAGTGAAAGTTTATATGTATTTTGTTTTTCTTTGTTTTATAAATTTAGAATTCTTTTTACCAAGATAAATTATTCTTAGAATTCAATTTGGGTAATACGAAAATTTATTAATTTTGAAATTAAAAAAAAATTCTTCAATATAAAATAAACCTGAAGGTAATATTTTTCCTGTATAATGTAGCACAAAACTATTCCCTCTAGGGGTGGTTCTTTAGAAGAAACAATCACTGACTTTTATTATTATTATTTTTTAAATGACTCCAATAAAACTTTAATTTTTGTCAAACTTTAAATCAAAGAATGAAATCCTAATTTTCAAAAAAATGTATATTAAGTTAAATTGATTCTTTCTTGAACACGATTTAGATGTTATATTTTCCCTACGTAACCTAAGCCAATACTATTAACTGAATTACTTATTTCTATATACAAAATTTATCACAACTAGTTTCCAATTTTAGACACAGTTTTGCTCCTTCCGTTCAACTTTGATGATCCTGTCTCGTTTGTCTAATGTTCAAAGTGCAACTCTCATACTTAACTGCTCTGTTATAAGAATAAATCATCTACTGTCTATCTGCTCCTCTATTATATCTAGTATATGGTTCGTTATTTTGTACTTTGTCCTTCACAGAACAGGAAAATGTTTATAATTTAATACTTGTTAGTTATCTTTTTCTATTCCTGTTTATGTCTTATATTTACGATTTCTGTCTTCTTTAGTTATTTATGGGCTTTTTAATATTTAAATTATCTTTTCTTCGTATTTATCTTAACTTTTTGATTAATTATTTCCTTCCATCAATTTTCAAAAATCTACTCACAAACTTTTTTTTTCTTCCTGTTTCCAAATAACCGCACTCCTGTTTCTACGTTTTAATTTTCCACTGCTCATTACTTAATAACTATTTTACAATATTTTTCTCATTTATATAAAAAAAATCAATTTAATTTAATCATTAAATAATTACTATTCTGAAATTTCCTATCATTTTATTTTCTTTTAAATTCTGATTTGATAAAAACTATTACTGTCAAATACTTCTTTCTTTCATTTTACCCCTTTCATATATGCAGTTTATAATACATTATATTATGCATTTATTACTGCCAATTTGATACATTAATGTTCTCAGTTTTATTTTTAATTTCCAAACCAATATTTACTTTATTAAATTTGCCACATTTCCATACATCTCAATATATTCTATACAAAGACATATAAGTTTCGTTTATCACAAATAATCTGGGTTTTTTCATTTTATTATCCAGTATTTTAATTAAAAGCTTTGATCCTAATTCATCTATATCATTCAAATTTAATTGACACAGTTCATCACGGGGACATGCACCGGCAACAACACATATTAAGGCAACCTGAAAAGGAGAAACTGATACCTAGATAGAAAATTTTCACTTCTAAACGTACTTTATTCATTAAGTCTGGTGGTTGAGTAATAAACGTTTCTAGTTATTTATTTGACAAATCTTTTGACTTCTTTAGTCACCTTGACGTTTTAGAAAAACACGTAATTTAAAAATTTTTGTATTTGTGAGATTCACTATTATTATTATTTTTAGAGCTTTATAAAAATGTATTCTTGTTACTAGAATGTACCGTTTTCGATATAAATGTTAGACCATGTCAACAAATACGGTTTTACCATTATTTTTATGAAATAAAATTCTTGATATTAAAAGGAAAAGTATATAGTTTCAAGCTCTTTATTTAGAAAATAAGATCAAACACAAAGAACTACTGCAAAAACAACATATTAATCCAAATTAATTCTAACACCGTGAACAACGATAAAAACAATCCTTAATTGTCAGTGACCATTCTTTTTGTACGCGCTTCTAAAATATTTCCTTTCTCCAATTCAGAAATTAAACTGACTTGTTGTGGTAGCACATTCTTCCAGATTTTTCAATTTGGCAAGTTTTTGCTTGATCGAACGATAGAATCCATTTATCACATCAGGATAAAGATGCAAAAACTCTATAAGCTGATTTTTGTCTATGATAAACACCTCGGTAGTTTCTATTCCCACCACCGCATATTTCCGCTTCTGAAAGAAAAGGCAATTAGTCCCGAACTCCTCACCATCCGCCAAGTGACACAGCTCCTTGCCATCTGAGGTCATAATGGCCACAGCACCCGAAGATATGAAGTATACTTCGCCTATTTCCGAACCTATTTTGATAATGATGTCATTGGGTGGGAAAATTTCTAATTTCATGACCTCCATCATGTTCCCAATTGTAGGACTGGGTAGATTTTTAAAAAGTGCCGACTTCTGCGTCATCTTTCGTGCAACAAATAGGAATAATTCGGCACGCAAATTATCGGAAAGAGTGTTCCTAATTTCGTTTTCTTCGAAGTATCGTCCTTGAAATTTAAATTTGCAATATCCGAATATACTGTTTTTTAAATTATCTGGCACACCTTGATTAGCCAAGTAGTTTTGTATTAAGGACATATTTCTTTGGTACATACTTTCAGAGATACCAGCTATGCCCAGTAATCTCAATATATCGGCCAGGAGATATAGAGTGTATATCCTCCCAGTAAAGGATATAATCACTGCACATATCTACTCTATGAGAACCTCCATTTCTATATGTGCAATTCTGAAGAAGAAAGAGAATACCATAAGGAAAGTATCGAAATATCTTTGATGCAATTCAGCCTTGTAATAAACACCAGTCGTTTTCATCCACGAACGAGAAGGAAAATGATCCGTGTATAAATACAATAACCGAGGAGCATTAACTATCATGTAAGCGAAGAGTTGAAGGATATGGTTTCGTTTTCACTGTGATACATAAGAGAGATCTACATGTTTTCTTAATTTTAATCTTTTTGGGTTCTAGTACAAGGTGATTAGTTTTCTTTTTGATGTAGCCTCTATTAAAGAATAGTAAGATCAAAATCAGTTGGATGGGGGTTATCATTTTTCTGGGTGCGTCCATAACAACGTTATATGTACTTGGTTCTGAGTAACTTATTACTGATTCTATTATTAGCAAATACAGCCACAGGATTACACACGTTGCATCTAGGATTGTACTGAGAACGCTCAGATGGTGAATCACGAAGAAATTTGGGCCGCAGGTGTGACTTTTTCTTTCTTTAAAAATTGCGGCAGAGTTGCGGAACAGTTTCTTACATTTGAAGTGGTTGGGGTTAATAAATATTAATTTCCTCAGAGCTCTGCCTAGTTTTTTCGTCCAATGTGCGTTTGGAGCCAATTTGGGAAGGCCGGAGTCCTTTCTGAGATGCAAACTGCACTTATGCCTGTTTTCGGACATGGTTGTTGGGGTACGCTTCTGTTCTACTTGACAGTTAGAACGGTCACAGGTTACTACAGATTTATTTTGTGGAAATTTAAACCTACTTGTTTCACTTTGTAATAGCTGTTTCACATTGACAATTTATTCATGAATAAATTGACGAAGTTCTTCATGAATTAATTCACGAATTTATTGGTAAACAGTGTGGTTTTACACTGCTGACTTTGTCAAGTTTTTTGATGTATGAATCAGTTCTACCAATGAATCAAAGAAGCAAATAAATTTCAAAAATGTCACCTTTCCACTCATAATTGTAGTGATACAACAGCGGTACCGTTCTGACACATATAAATATTAGTTTTTGTAAGTAACAATCAGTAAAAACAATGCAAAACTAGTACGACGCCACACAATTATTTACATATTCCAATAACATAACCTCATTACTGATCTGAGGTTGGAAATCTGTTGGGTTGGTACTTCCGAACTTCACGAAGAAATTGACGAAAATTAGAACATGCTCTATTCGTCAAGAACTTGATGAATAAATTCATGAAGTTATTTGGCAGCAGATTTGGTGCATTAAACTTGTCCAATTTTTTGATGAAGCGACTTCATCAATTAATTGATCAATAAATTGTCAATGTAAAACAGCTATAATGAAATACGACGCACTAACCGGACGTCAAACTGACAATGCAGTACCTTACGTCAGTTTGACAAGTAATCTGTATAAGTATTTAGCAAAATATTAAATGTGACGGCGTAGAACGAAATGTTAACAAAGTCACATAGGTACTTTATTAGTGAATTTAACGTTTTCTAAAATTAATTTATTTTCTCACTGAAAATGTTATGAAAAAAGTGTAGTCATCCAAAACTAATCCTTAGGTTATCTGAAACGTTCCATATAATGTGCAAGATTTTTAAAATGTTTATATTTCAAAGAGACAGATATTTACCCACTTAGAAGTTTCCCTTAAGGAGATCTTAAAAGATTTTATGTTTCAAATCTCCAAAATAAAGGAAAATTTTGCCTTTTCTATACAAACTATTAAATAATAAAATTGACTGCCCTCACATATTAGAAAAGAAAATCTTTTATGCTTCGTCGCTATTAGCTTTGTTCGGAGAGCGAATTTGCAAAAGTTTACTACCAAATTCGCATGTCTTGTCCATAACTGATTTCAGATCAACTCGATATCAAATCTACGAACGCATTCTTAAATTATTATTATAAGAAATTATTAGGTATATTATAAAAAAATGTTTGAATTATGTTTTTGTATTTTATCTTCTATTTTTTATTATTTTAGGTATTTAAGTAACAAACAGAAATTCAGTATTAATAACTTAATACAGCTACTAACCTTTTGAAATGCCATTAAAAAATATACCTATATATTTTTAATTAAATAAAATTAAAAGAATGCATAACGTGTTTAACAAAGTATATAAATATGAACTCAAATTATATGTTAACAAGATGAAAAAATGATAGAAATTCTACTGTACTCTACAAAGCTATTATTTCACCTTACTAACAAAATACTGAATATTCCTCTTTATATGGAATGAGTTCCAGTTTTAATTTACTTAAATTAGAGGCATTTATTGTACACTTACAGAAATTAAGTCAATTTATCTTGCCGATTTTTTACACTGATGCACAATTTTAATTTTTTTAATTTTATTTTAGGTATATAAGAATCTGTCAATGTGTTGTGTTGTTGTTTTATACAGATACGAATTTTTAATGCTAATATAGTTATCTACAAAGTATTTTGTATGCTTTAACCCAAATAGTGAATTTTCTGAGAAATATCGAGGTCACGAGTAAATTTTACTAATGACATTGTGTTGAGCACCTCAAAATACTGCGAAAATTATATATTAGGAAAAAATCTGTTTTGACCCATATTTGGATCAATTTTCTCCCAAAGATTTCACCGAAATTTCTTGTGAAGTCATGAATTTTGACTACAGGATCGTGGTCAGCGCATCGAATTCCTTCGAAAATGATATGTGGCTCTCTTGGGTGTGGTCTTTTTTTGTGTAGGTATGTTGACGAATCCTTGTGAAGATTCAACTACAGTTCTAAACTTTTTACATGCGTGTTGAATTCGTGCCCAAAGTTGATCACGTGTTTGTAATGGTTGACAATAGACTAATGATTTTAGGTATTCTCAAGCACAAAAATTGCCAGGATTTAAATTCAGAGACCTTACTGGTCAAGCAACTGGACCCCCTTTTTCGATCCACTGCTGTCCGTAAGTAGCATTCTAAAATTCGCGAACAATTACTCGAAGTGAAACCATAAATTCTGTCGAATATCCAAAGGTATATCATCTAATAAATTTGGTAAAATATACTCCAAAATAATGTATATAATCTCCATTTAGGCGATTAGGCAGTTGCACAGGTTCTAGATTATTTCCAAGAACTTCTATCCAAACATTTATGCTAAATCTATCCTGATGTTTCGTCTCTTTTTAGCATGGGAGTTGCTACTAACATAAGAATACTGATGAGCATTCTGCATATTAAAAATTCCGTCATTCGCAGAATAAAATATCAGAAAAAAATTAGGGTTTCGAATTTTTTGGTGCCGCAACTAGCGGGAGAATAGGTGTCTTTCAATGCCTGAACTTTTCTAAAATGAAAAGGATATAGGTTTTCCTTGTGCAAAATGTCTCATATAGTAGTTTTTGAAATAATCGAATACATTGTAGCCAGCTTTCTACACTAATTTCAGGGTTTTCCTCAACTTCCGGTAATGTGTATCCGGTTTCTCTTAATCTTTGGTGCAGTTCAGTAAAGGTGCTATGAAGAGGATGTCTTCTATTCGGAAATTTTTCGACACGTCGACATGCCGCTGTTCGAGTTACGTTGTATTTCAGCATACACTAAATGCGCATTGGGATATTCTTCTGTCGTAAACATTTTTAAACAACTGATTTTTTTGTATTTAGCAAATGATAATTTAAATTAAGAACTTGGAGAAAAAGACTTTGATTGAAAACTAATTTCTAAAACTGATATTCACAGTATAGTTTCCGGTTGCTATGTTATATGTTTTCCAAAGCCAACCACTAAATATTAGCAAAGAATTTCTAAATTTTATAATTATCGTACGAAAAAAACACAAACATTTGAAATAGATTTTGCTCGCATACGGTACATTCTAACTAAGTACCAGACAAAAGTACCTCTTTAATCTAGAATACTCCGAAGTTTTCGATTTTGATAAAAAAAATACCAAAAATTCGAAGATAAAAAAATATAATTAAAAATATCAGTTGACATTCTTAAATGTGACGCCTATGGTTATAATTAAAAGATCACTTTTACATCAAAAGGCTGTCCGTATAAGAGTTAACATATTACTTAAGTTTGATCCTCCTAGATAAACAGCGATCTGGACAATTAAAGAAATAGCAAGAAACAAGCAATGTCAAAGAGCCCTGCCTTAAAGACGATTTATTTCAAATCGATATGAAATCATCCGTAGAATTTGCTGTCTTCGTTTTTCGGTTTAGTTCTGAACACCTTGTATAACTTTAACATTTGATATTTTGCTAAATTTTCAGTTTTGATTGATTGTTAATCTGACGTATTATCACTTTGACGTTCAGCTAATGGATTGATTCTCCTTACATTGTACGAAACAAAAGTCCGTAGTGACCTGTGATAGCTCTGACAAACTGTCAAGTACTGTTCAACAGACGCGTATCCCAACTATGTCTAAAAACCAGCACAGATGCAGTTTGCCGGTTGAGGATGATTCCGGCCTTCCCAAACTGGCTCCCAATGCACATTGGGCTAGAAAACTAGGTAGAGTTTTGAGGAAGTTAATAGTTGTTAATCCCAATCACACCAGATGCAAGAAACTGTTCCGTAACAAGACGGAAGCTATGAAAGAAAGAAGGAGGCACATCTCCGGTCCCCATTATTTTGTGATTCACCCTCTGAGTACCCTCGACGCAATTCTGAATGCGACGTTTGTCATCTT